AAATCAAAAAATCAGCCAGGCGTGGTAGTGCATGCCTGTAATTCCGGCTACTCGGAAGGCTGAGGCAGAAGGATCGCCGGAGCCCAGCAGGTGAGGCTGTGGTGGCCAGGAGCGGCCACTGCACTCCAGTCTGGGCGACCAAGTGAGACTCAAACTCAACAAAAAAAAAAAAAAAGAAAAAAAATATCAGGGCTCTCATAGGAAAATGGGAGTGCCCCAGGGGCCAGGATTGGAAACTAAAAGCCAGGTAAGGATAATGCCAGCAGATGCTGAAGGAGCCCGATGACAATGGGGGACAGGATCAGAGCCAGGAACATGCCCTAATAATTGATTCTTAGGACTGTGTGTCCAGGGAGGCCTGGGAGTCACAGGAACTGGGAGTCTGTAACTGAGACCCACCCCTACCATGTCAAGCCCTCAAAGGTTCATATCTGGGGTAGGGGCCAAAACAAAACCAGAAAAGCTCTATGGATTAGGGCTAGCAATACAGCCAAGAGGTTCCCAGCACTTTGAATCTCCTGGAAGGGAAAAAGAAGCCAGTCCCCAAATTTACACTCCCCGAGCAAAGCAGGAAGACCTCAGCTGAGAAGTTAGCAGAACAACTGGCCCTGGCACACCTGTCAGAGGCAAATGCAAATCCACTTTACAGGGAGACCTTCCACAATCCCAGCCAAAAACCTCCTGCTGCTCACTATCAAGACCTGCATGCTAGGAGGTGACCACAATAAACAATAATCAGCAGACACAACAACCAGTAGTTTATGGTGGGAAATGGTTTTGAAATGAGAAGAGAACTTGGTGAATCAAAATAGAAAGCAGGAAAGGAAAAGTTAGAGCCGCAACTACAGAGCCTGAGATAATGTGGCTGAAATAAATACATTCAATCATTCATTCATTTAATTTTTTTTTTTTTTTGAATTGGAGTCTCACTCGGTCACCCAGACTGGAGTGCAGTGGCCGCTCCCGGCCATCGCAGCCTCGCCTGCTGGGATCCGGTGATCCTTCAGCCTCAGCCTTCCAAGTAGCTGGAATTACAGGCATGCGCTACCATGCCCGGTTGATTTTTTTGGATTTATTGTAGAGATGAGGTCTCGCTGCCTGGGCAGGTCTTGAACCCGCGGGCTCAGGCAATCCACTCACCTCAGTCTCCCAAAGGCGCGGGATTACAGGCTGAGCCACCGAGCCCGGTTCTTTTTTTTTTTGAGTTGGAGCCTCACTCTGCTGCCCAGGCTGGAGTTCAGTTCAGGCGATCCTTCCTTCTCAGCCTTCCAACTAGCTGGAACTACAGACACGTGCTACCATGCCCGGTTAATTTTTTTTTTTTTTAATAGAGATGAGGGCTCACCAATTTACCTGGGCTGGTCTCGAATCCACGGGCTCAGGCAATCTACTTGCCTCAGCCTCCCAAAGGGCTGGGATCAGGTCAAGTGCAGTGGTGAGAAGGGGCAAGAGTGAGAAGGTTAATCTATAACTGACAGTGAACAAGTAATTGAGTTAACTCACTACTTCAGACCAGCCTGAATTTAAATAAACATATACAGATTAAAGTCATTAGTTGAGACAGAGTCTCAAGTTGGGTTTTTAAAAAGTAAGTTTCCAGGCCGGGCACGGTGGCTCAGCCTGTAATCCTAGCACTTTGGGAGGCCGAGGTGAGTGGATTGCCTGAGCCTGAGGGTTCGAGACTCACCTGGGCAACTTGGCGAGACCTCATTTCTACAATAAATCAAAAATTAGCCAGGTGTGGTAGCGCACGCCTGTAGTTCCAGCTCCTTGGAAGACTGAGGCGGAAGGATCACCAGAGCCCAGCAGGTCGAGGCTGCGGTAGCCGGGAGGATGCCACTGCACTGAGGTCTGGGCAACAGAGTGAGACTCTAACTCAAAAAAAAAAAAAAAAAATTAAGGTTCCAACTCACATCTTTAGTCCATTTTGGGAGACCAAGGCAGGAGGATTGTTTGTGTCCAGGAGTTCAAGACCAGCCTGGGTAAGATAGTGAGACCCTGTCTCTATTAAAATTAAGGAAATAATTTTTTTTAAAATAAAAATTCCATCAGAAAAAAGGAACTGAGAACACTGAACTCAAAGATATATGTAGACCCCTTCATTAAAAATTAAAGAGCTGAGCCGGGCTCAGTGGCTCAGCCTGTATTCTTGCACCTTGGGAGGCTGAGGTGAGTGGATTGCCTGAGCCCGCAGGTTCGAGACCCACCTGGGCAACTTGGCGAGACCTCATCTCTACAATAAATCAAAAAACTTAGCCGGGTGTGGTAGCGCACGCCTGTTGTTCCAGCTACTCGGAAGGCTGAGGCGGAAGGATCGCCGGAGCCCAGCA